TGTACACTAAGACTCTCGCTCATGTCTCTATTCCAGACCATGTTGAGACGCCTAAATACAGACTCGTTTCAGAAGGCCCATTTCAACCGCCTGCACCCCTGATCGAAGAAGGTCTCCCTTATTGAATAGAAGTACAACATTCTCGTTCTCTAGTCCGTTTGTGTCTTCCCAGTAGCCACTGCAGTTTGACAAACACGTGTAAGCCTAGACATGCCTTCTTCGTTTAAAGTTTTGAGCATTTCTTGACGGATATCATCAATTCCAGCCGCCTTTTCATATTTCAAGATTTTCGCAGTTTGTGTAATTTCGTCTATACAAATAGTAATATCATTTCCTGCTGCTCTACAAGTGAGTCTTCCTGTTTGCTCAGGGTTAAGGACTTCCTCAATATACTCTCTCGATCGCCGAAGAATGTCATTATCCTTGATAAGACAGTGTCCGGACCTGTCCTTAAAGACTCTTACACTGTCCTTCTTTTCGGAACTGGAAGATCGCGTACCAGATTACCATGTTTGCCATGTAAAAATTCGACTCCAACACCTCACCGAACTTCTCCCATGAATCAGTTTTGGATTTCATCACTGCCTTCGCTGCTGCCTTGCGTGCCTCGACATATCGCACGTGAGTAGAAGGCTCTTTGTTTCCAAGTTATTTCTTGAACGCTGCTTTCTTCTCTTTAACTGCCAGTTGTACCTCTCGTGTCCACCATGAAGATTTTTTCTGACATCCAGGCCGTAGTACAACCCATCTGGTTCGGCAGTATTCTGCGGCAGCCTCGAGTATTTCGTTCTTACAGAAGTTCCACATGGTTTCCGAATCAGCGGTCATCACCGGGATCTGTTCAGACCGTTGTGCGATGTTTGGAAGTTCCGCTCTCATATCTTCCTAATATAATATATCCCAATTGATTCTCCGGTTGCTTCTGCCACCAGACCTTCGTGTGGTTCTCTCTTACAGCGCATCGTGCCAACAACAAGGTGCAATGTGGTGATCGGTTGACAACTCTGGGCCTCTCTTAACACCAATGTCCATTAGAGGTCGTCAAACGATACGTTTATCAAATCGACTATCGATTTCTGTGCACAAGCTGCCCTTTACCAGATATACATATGTACGCTTCGGTGCTCGAAAAAGGTGTTCATAGTGCACAGTCCGTTGCTTGCACGAAACCGCAGCAACTTCATGGCGTTATTGTTGATGTCGCTAGGGCCGTTCTTTCCGACCTAGCCTTGCCGGTTTTCAGCGTCTACTCCAATATGCAGATTAAAACCGCTCATGAATATGAGGGTCTTCGTATTCGGCACTTTCGTTCAGAGGACATTCCGTTTCCTCAAGGAAGGAATCACAGTCTCCCTTTAAGTTTGGGGCACTGACCTGTAACACGGTCAATGCTTTAGCCAGCTG